CGTCGATGGCGGCGCCTACAGGCGCCTTCCCTTGTTGAAGGCATTGAGGTTGCGGCCCTCCCCTTCTTTTCCGAACATGCTTTGGGGGAAACCCTAGATCCGGTCTCCCTTGAACTCAAATAATATGTTAGCATGGACCCATGCTGCTTGAGCACTTCTTCCTCAACCGAGGATATTATTATGCTTGTACAAGATTATCAGGGGTTATGCTCAAGGTCAGAGCTTCATGTAAGTAGCACTAATAATTGATCATGTTCAACCTTCATATGCACAAAACCACATATTCCGCAGAAATTTTACGTTACAGTCGCTCTCAAAAATTTCAACCTATTGCTGGTTTAGTTACATCTCAGCTTGCAGCCAGGATGAGAAGAACACAAATGTAGCTAGTTTCCGTAATTGACAATTAAATAGCAATGGTTGTGTGCCTTTTTCATGTACATCAAAATAACACCTTAGAAAATGTGCAACTTCTACTCCTCGATCAACTGGAAGTTCATGTACATCAAAATAACACAAGCTAGAAATCTCTTGGAGATATTCAACTGGAAGTTCAGCAGCAGGCAGCAGCTTGTCGAACAAAAAGGGACGTAAACTGATCTGCCATTCTTCATGGCAAAAATGGACTCATCCACTAAAACCTTTATTCATTCATTCCCATGTTTCCGTGGGCAGCAAGTGTACAACTACATTTTTCACTTCAGCCTCTCCTAATTGATCCATCTCAGCGAAACTAATAAGCTAGCTAGCTACGGCTAGGCTAGGCTACTTCTACTCCTCGATCGTCCAGGCTGCTGCTACTGCTCCAGCAGCTTGTTCATCGTGGGGGTCTTCATCTCCGCGCGTGCAGGTTGGTGACCTTGATGTCCGACTCACCGTTGTTGAAGACGAAGAGGTGCGCGTCGTCGCCGATGGCTTTCCTCGGGTAAACCCTTGTCAGGATGCACGTCTTTCCGCCGGCCCCGAAGCTCTCCACCACAGAATGGTCAATCTGAAATGAAGTTCGCGACATGCCTTAGACCCCTCTTGCAACGGTTTAATCCACTCCAGAGCATACACTGATCATGTGGTTACATATATACATATACCAATGTTCTGAGGGCGATCTTCTTGGTCTTGGCTATGTCGACATTGACAAAGCCGGCGAAGGTCGGCCTGTAGATCTGTGACTCGTACGATGACCTATTTGATAGTGATCATTGGGAATTACTGTTGGATCTGGATGCATGGATAATCCAACATCGCAAGTTTTGTACCATGTAATGTGACTTGAGTAAGTTGTATCTTATATGTTACCTTGTTGGGTCATTACACATGAGGATGACGTAATTGGTGTCGTTGGTCTTGAACACCCTGAAGAAGACGGCTGTCCTCTCCTCGAGGTCGTTGGAGGCCAGCAGCCAGAGCCCAAACGGCCCAACGCAACCCTTGACGTGCGAGTTGAACTTCTTGCATAGCCCCTGTGCGTCGGTCCGCCACGCCAGGTCGAACTTCTCCGCTTTGTCCAGGTCCCTGATGGCGAACGCCGCCTCCACGTCTGACTGCACGGATTTGAAGCCGGTGATCTCGAAGTACTCGCCGCCCTTGACGGCCTTGTTGCTGACATTTACGTGCTTTGAGCGCAGCGACTTGACCTCCTCCACTGGCCATTGGATCAGCTGTCTCCCGCTTCGCGATAGGAAGATCTTCCTTGGTATCGCCTGAGAAAATCAGCAACAACAATACGTCTCGATCTCAGGCTCTCAGCACGTACGGTGGAAAACATACTAGGAAAAGTAATTTTGTTCATGTGCAAGCGTAGCTAGTGACCTGGATGCCGGCCCAGCCCTTGTGGTGGTCGTCGGTAACGGTGTCAGACTCATTGGCCCAGCCCCAGAGAACACGTCGTTTCTTGGTCGGGTCGAAGAAGGACTTGGAGGCGTAGAAGTCACCATAGTCGTAGCGGAGGTCGTAGTCATTGTCCAGGAAGGCGTGGTCGGGGGTGTACCTCTCCTTGTCGTGGTCGTATGTGCCAATTGTGTAGTAATCGTATTGTGTCAGTTCTAGACTCACCATGAGCACGTACTTGACCTCCTTGGCCACAACACGGTCGTGCAACTCCACGGTGTCCACACCACTCTGGTGGTTACGGCTGCCTCCGGCTACCGCCACAGGGAAGAAGTCAGGGCACTCCCACATTCCTGTGAGTCCCGCGTGCAATGAGTGGCGCGCCTTGACCCACTTCTTGAAGTCTCGGCTCCGGTACAACACCGCGATCCCCCTCATGTTCTCCTTGGTGCCCACCACCAACCTCCAGTGTCTGCACATATATCAGGTACAACATATATTCTTTATGCATAAT